GCTTCCGAAAGCACGGATTTGTCTCTCGTCCATGTGAGACCGAGTTCACCGAGTGTCGTACTAGATGAGGTTCCGTTTTGCCTGCTGCCTGAATGTTAATCCGATGACGTTCGCTATTGATTGGTTCGACGGTGATTTGACGCTTTGTTATTCAAATCTGACGTTGTGCTGATTTTCTTGTGCTTTGCGTTTCATTATTGATTCACGGGCGATGTCTTTCGTTACCTGTGGTCACTAGCCTCTTAAATTAACATTAATTGCACTAAACGTTCGTGACGTCACATAAACTTCGACGCAGTTGTCTCCTTCGATTATGGTTTAAGTTATTAGTCTGAGTGTTTTTAGCCTCCCGCTTCTAAGCAGAAGAAAGACGCCGGCCGGAAACTGTTCTAGTGTCACCTATAGCGGTTGGTGTAACTTTAAATCGCTTCATGCATCTGTAGACCATGTCTTGTGAATGTTTCCATGTTCGTCTAGCCTTCAGCCGCCTAATTCTTAGCTTTTAACTTTCCGGTACCCGGTAAGCATTAGAAAAGCCACTAGTCGGTCTGGCGGTCATTTTCTTGTATTGCTATCCTACCACCATTTTTAAGCTGAAAGCAAATTTATTGTTGTCATCCGTCGTGTAAACAGCTGTATTCATGCGCGGCAGTTGCGGAGACTGAAACTGAATGAGACCGCTGCTGCCTTCGCACCGAACCGAAATGTCTTGTCGATGACGCAAATTACTGGCTTGACATGTTGTTGTTTGTTTTCTCAGGCATGAATTAAGTGCCTACCGGTATACACTTAAATTAATTAGCCTTTCATTCCATACCGCTATGGACTGAATGCGATTCAGGATTTAGTTCAAGCCGGTCTCAGTTTTTCTTCAGTACGCCAAGCCTACCATATAAGTCCCGTGATTGAGTTGCTCTTTAAGCTTTAGAGCGCAACAGACTTTCATGGTAGCGTTAATGGCAGCATGTATGGAATGTAGACATGTATTTCCTGTGACAGTTATTTTTATATGTTGTAACTTTATGTTTTGTTTAACTGCAATTGTTTTTGGCAATATAGCTATGCATTGAAGCTTTTTGGCCTGTTACTAAGAAAAACGGCAGTTAGCATTCTGTAGTTATATGTCATTCAAGTGACTTTGGGGCCAGAGCGCAGCCATGGCGGAAACCAGAGCCAAAAATGAACGGTATCGGCTTAATGCCATTGACCTTGACGCAGCACCTGTTATTAACATTAATGACTGGATGGCTCCGGGCAAGTGACCCATCGATCCCATATGTCCGCAGGCCTGCCCATAGATTGCTGCTGCGGGATCCGGTCACAGGATTTCTCCGGGTCCACACAGCACATGTAAACCAAATAAGAAAACTCGCACAATTTCTTAATAATTTGGCATACTGCGAAAATCTGATCAGCGGTGTTTCGGCTTGACATGAAGTTACACTGTTCTTCTTGTGCTTTATTCAGTCTTATTGAGTCATTTATTCAGCGGAACCTAGTTTCTAAGGCCTTTGCGTAGACTTTATCCGGAAGGATCAATAAGGTAATGCCCCGATAATTGGAGCACTTCCTCTGGTGTCCCTGAGCAAGGGTACAACAGCCCTCGTTCTCCAGTCCACTGGTGTCTTCCCCGTAGCCATTGCTGCTTGACAGACACCTGTAAACCAGTTGCCTTGTTTAGCGGAAGCTTTAAACATTTCAGTGCGAATTTCGTCTATTCCAGCAGCCTTACCGCTTTTTAAGACTTTTTACAGATTTGTGGCTTCATCTAC